AAAAGTCATCAGTATAACTGTATAACACTGTGAGACTTTATCAAAATAAATTTTATCCACAATGGAATTATAACCTATCACAGTGCACAAGTTCTATTCTTACAATAGTGGGTTTGTTTCAAACAATATTGCTGATACAGTAGGGAAATTTCAGCATGTGCTATAGTATTGGACCTAATGTGCACTTGACTTAGCATGGTGACGGGAAAACAAAAAATAACAATTACGGAGCTTATATGATGCTTACGTTTAGAAGAAAATAAATTTTAAAAATGAGAGGGTAATAAATATAAGAATAATAACAGTAAAACTTGATGTCATAAGGTTGGAGAAAATTGTTTGTTTACTAATGGTAAGAAGTTTAGTTAGTTCGTGCCTGACACCCATTTCATCACATAAAATACGTGCCGCCAAATGTGGTATTGTTATACTTGGAAATGCGCGCATAAAGTCTTCTGAAATGACTTCTTGTTTTACCTAGGGAGACACAAGGTGAAAGCGGATTCTCACAGTCTGACAAAGTCCCTTTAGTAAATTTGTTGCATGAAATCAAGTGCCTACCAATCACGATGTCAACGATCTGATCCAGTCAGATACCATTCACTCCAACGACAGAGTTTTACAAAATATGACATAGTCTTTTTTAAGCAACCCAGGAAAGAATAAGGGTGAACAATAAAGAAGAATAGGTAAGATGCTAGAGTTGACATACTGTAAGAGGGGGGCCTGAGTTATGCCCCAGTGCCATAACTTCTTAGTATAAAATGTCACACGGAGTATTTTATTTTAGAAATCGCTGAGACTTGGGAAGGCCAACATAGACCAGAAGAAAGAATTAGTCCAAGATATTTCTGTATCAGTATCATCAATTTTACAACGGTCATAGGAAATAACAGCTTCGTTTAATTTTCTTTTACATCAGAAACTGAAATTAACAGTCTGACATTTGGAAGGAGTCACTTTAAGACCATTTGCTGACTGCTGATAGAAAGCTGTTCATCTTAGTAAGGTCTAGTTGGGAGTTAACAGACACTGAAATAGTTAGATCGTCTGCATAATTAACAGAGATCATTTATCAGTGTAAGGTGGGTCATGCAAGAAGAAAGAAAACAGAGAAGGAGAAAGGACAGAGCCTTGAGAGACACTAGCTTCAGTAAACAATGAAGTGGACGACTTCCCCTGACATACAGTGTACTGCTTTATTCCTGAGAAATAAGAATACAGCCATTTGACAACCTCATACTCAGTTTCAGCAAGCTTGTTTAACTAAATATCCCTAGGTACTGAGTCGAAAGCGGATGTGTAATCTAGGGAGGTAGAGCGAACAAATTCATCCCCTTTCTCTAGAGTGGAAACAATGTTATGATGCAAGACTGAAGCTGCATCTAAAGTAATTTTAATGTCCTTCCAAACAGCTGGCACGACATTTCTGGAAAGATTCATTAAATATATGCATGAGAGGATAACACAGGACATCTGCACATTTTTTAAGAATAAGGATAGGCACACCATCTGGACCTAGGCTAAAAGAAGGGTTCAGCAGCTGGAGACATTTTAGATCGTCATCTGTGTTGAAACCCGGCTGGCGCACTCCTTTACCTCGCTGAGCCAGAAATAATGCTGGTAAAGAGGAAAGGTTGGGCATGAGGCTAGCAATCCCATCCTGTAAAATAAACACTGCTACAGAAACTTCAAGCCACTAGCTTGAAGTCCTATGTTCCAATAGGGAACGTGAAGGAAAAAAAAATCTGTGTTGAAACCAGCTTTCATTAAAACCTGTGACACTAGAACGCACAGCAATTGTGGGAGAATATGTGAAAGATTAGTTTAGAGTACACATATCAAATGAAAAAGGAATACTGTTTGTCTGCTTACCACCACTAATTTCTTTGAAAAGTTTCCATATATATGAGGCATTTTTACAGGATATAAATTTCTGGTAATAAACTGAATTCAACCTCTGCATTCCAGACTTGATTAAGATATTAATTCTTTTCACGCCAATGCTCTCAGTCGCTTTATATAACTTTTACTTTTCCCTGAGAATCTTTTTAAGCTAAGAGGAGGAAAAACGGTTAAATCTGATGAAAAGCGTTTCTCTGGAACAACAGGTGTCAAGACAGAATTTGAGATAATATGTAATATTTGAGATGGTGTCTTCATTGAATAAATCCCGCATTGTGTCTAAGATTCTGAACATTCTCCTTAGAGTAACATCTTGAAAAGGTAATTCTCAATAAATTTTGGGTAAAACCCGTACAATACAATCATCAGAGTTAAAAAGTGGGGCTCTTTTACAACTTTCGTATATTCCGGAGTCATTTATAAATACAAGATCAACAGAAGTATCCAGTCGGGTGGAAAAGTTAACAACATTTTAATGACCTAGCAATGTAAGAAAACCGCAGTCACAAGAATTAAAATCTCTGGTCACTATAAACAATGAGTTACCAAAAGATGCGGCAGCAAAAACAGTGAATTCATCTACAAATATGGATAGTTCTGAAGGACTACAACAAGGTATGACCTAAATGTTTGTGATAAAAATGAAGATGTACTTAGATAGCTGTTTAGGCCGACATTTAACAGTTATACAGTCAATTTTATCATTTGAGAATTTAAAGCAGACGTTGTTAGCAGCAGACCACTGAGAATTAACAAGTGGCGACACCACCACCTCCCTTACTCCTTGAACTGCGTCGGTCCTGTCTGCACATAGTGAAACCATTTAGGGAGACTAAGTTGTCATCAAATGAATCGTAGAGCCAGGCTTCCTGGAGCGTTATTGCACATGTATTAGAATAAACATTAGAAGGTAATAGAGCATGCAAGCAACTAATCTTGCTCATAATTACAGGAAAAGTTGTCTGATGCTTCAAAGCTCGCTGCCACCCAGCATGATGCTTTTTCTTAGTTTTATTATAAACACCTAAATCAGATAGTTGAAAACATTTTAAATAACCATGAGAGTAAATAATACGATTCGGACGCAAATGAATGATGAAAATAAAATAAAGCCGAGGAATTAGATGCAATATATGGTGGAAAATTTTGGTAACCAAGGTTTAAGCAGGCCACCAACAGGTTCGCGATCGATTTTGAATACATTTCCATTACGAACTTTCTATCCAATGTTTCAGTTATGTCATTCTCAAGTCTGATTTTTCTACAAAGCTGTATATAAACATCCCAATTTACAAACTTGATCTCTTTTAAAATAACGACTGATGTATTATAAATAAATACTTTCCTTAAGTTGTTCGTAAACTAGGTGAAACGAGACCAACTCAAATTACTTTCGTACCTTGTCTCTCTTTAATCTAGCGTACCACTGAAGGCAGGTGACTAACAAATGCTGAAAATAAGCCACTTAATTACTAAGCAAATATCATGAGTAACTGGATTCTGACTCACTGGCTGGAAGATAACATGCTGGCCTCATAACCTGACGGAGACACTGGTAGGCGTTGCTGAGGAGGCTTAGAGTAGAACAACTCCAGAAGAGGTGTCTCTGAACAAATCCAAGAGTATTTACAGGATTTGATATTATAATCCACATCTAGTCTTCGAACGCTTTAGGAAAAGCTTTGATCAAAGCAAAAAAATTTTAACTTAAAAATCCTCTGACCTAGACCATGAAACGTTCAAAAACATTCTTGTTTTAAATTCCTATCAAAATATTTTGAAGGTATAACCATCCAACCTGCCAATCATAATTGAACTACAAATTACCTAAAATAATCAATGAAGTAAGAGTGACTTTAAAACCACAATTATTATTGTTGTTTATTGTCTTATTCAATATTCGAAAAAATGTATTGAAAGGTATAAATTATCATTATCACTCGAATTTAGATGGTAGAATCAGTATATTACTTGCTGGCACAAACAGTAACGGAAAGCCATATTTAAACGTGATCAATAAGAGAAAAAAGTATGCTGTGTTACAGTACAAACAAAACAAAACGACAATACAATTAGATTTCATCTGTATTTCTCTCTCTTGATTATTTTGTGAATTTTTACAGATAAAAATCACCGCGCACACATTGAAACGTATATAAAAATACCAAACCACACACACACGTACGTAGACATACAAGTTATGCCCGCCCACACAGTAATCAGGCGCATAGTCATGCTTTATGTTCTTCATTAGATAATGAAAAAAGATAACACTAATTACGCAAATACTGTAGACAATAAAAATACTTTAAACAGAAACAGCACATTTCTATCAATGTGAATAGAGAATGATTATTTAGGGTAGATTTAATTAAAAACCTGGAAAAGGTTATTGGACAACGACTAGAATCGAGAGATAAGAAAAAACTGATTTTTCACTTTTCAACTGAAAGTAGCCTTCTTCACACTTGAAATGTACGTTTTTGGGAGAAATTCCATCGGAAATGATGAATTCACTAAGGACTGTGCACTCGTTCTCATAAATTCACTCAAGAAGTAAGTCTACTGGACTGAAAATTTGATATTTTTTGGTAATAAAATTTTAAAAATGTCACAAAGCAAGATATGTGCATCTGTATAATTTTACCTGATGAATATATATATATATATATATTCAAATCAAAATATATAATGCAGAAATAAGTGAATACCCATGATGAGAAGTGAGAGGAAGAGATTCTTTTTCACAAGGATAAAGCTAGGAAAAGAGAGTTTGTGGTATAACGGTATAACATCGTTGTAATAAAAAACATTATGGATAAAAGAATATAATGATAATAATATTTAATCCTATTATTATTACTACTATTATGATTATCAAAGTTGCTCATAAAATCAATAAAAAAAGGAAAATGAGAAGTTCCAAAATTCAAAACAAAAAGGCCAGAAAATAAATGAATAGAAAAATTTAGGCACAAGCACATGTATGTTTACTGTATAAGTAATTAAAAGTTGTCTTGTTTGACAGCTTTTTAGATTACGTTGGGTAGATGAAATAATACACCAGTGAATTGTTGTAAGAGACTGATTGACGTCTAGGTAGCCCATACGGAAGCAGGGCATTTATCAATTTTCACACAATAAATATTAAACAATATGGCACCAATGGTGAAACACATATAGATGACAATGCTGATCCAGAAGCAAACTTTCTCCCACTTTTCAATTTTTAAATTACGCAAAACAACTATACCTAGAAGAAGACCTATAGAGAAGAAAAAGACCAAAACAAACTCATATTCAGGAGAAAGGCTAAATACGCATTGTAATTAATTTACGTTAAAATACTTAAGACATTTAGTAAAAGCAAAATTTCCGGTCAACTACTATGCATCCTTCCCTGTAGCCAAAGAATAGTGACCCAGTGGGTTGACAAAAAAGAGGACCCCAAAACAAAGGTTCGAAACATAACTATTTTAAAGAATGAAGACAACAATCTTATTACGCAACTGACAATATTAACTACTCTGATAACTACGATACAGTATCTAGATAAAACACAGCTGTCGGACTGTACCGATAAATTAAAGGATGAATTTTATCAAAATCTGTCTAGCTCGTTGCTGAAAGCAGACCGCTCATTCTAGCAAGAGATTATAATGCTTAAGTAAGAAAGCTGCGCCAGTACGTAAAGTACACTGGAGATTCCCTATGAAGACACATACTCATGAACCAACTGGGGTGACTGTCTTTTACAATTCTGTTTACATAACCAGATACTTCTGACTGACACTGATCTAAAACATAAGAAAGACATCGTTTCACCAAGTGATTGTTGACACTGACCAAATGATGAAGTAAAATAGAGACTGAACACATATTGTGGCAGTTTTTGTAGTTATTGTCACTAAAATCTTCTGTGAATATTTTTCTACACACCACATTTTTTAGTAAATGATTACCACCTCGACTTTCGGATACATTTTGAAGCTTCTTATGTAACCACTTATATTTTCAACCTTTATAACATTTTACACCCATTTTTTCGACTTTAATTTAAATCTAATTATTTAAAGGTGCTAATATGTAGATAACTTACACGTATTTTGTAGGTAGAAGGATTAGAAACAAGAAAATGAACAACGAAAAAACTCGCTTGTAACTAAGATTTTCTGCATCAGCAAACTTAAACCTTTTTGTTGGAGGTGGGGAGATATGAAAAGATATTGGTTTTCGACGAAAGGTGTCTGAGTTCAATTTCTCTCCATAGATGGCATGATACAGTTGGCAATTTTGAATTTGGGCAAGGACCAAAGATCGACCGATGAAGTCATGGCGATTCATCGAAAATGTGTTAACGTATGTCTAACCAGCGCCTTTCTCGAAGAACGATGTCAACTGAAATAGGACTAAGTCACAAAATACTTAGGGATCGGCAGACCGAATGTCTCCAATCTGTTTAATTCTTGACTATTAGTCTGAACCATGTAGGAAGGTGTACACTGTCAGGTTAGCGTCCTCAAGATGTTACGAATCAATGCTTGAACACCATATGTCATGTGGCATACTCCTTGTGATCTTTGAGATACATAAGACCTACACTATTCTTCATCTAATTATTCATTCTACCATAAATTTTCATCTATTGTAGTACTGTAACAGTAGATAACAACAAAATACGACCGCTATTCCTGCATGTCTGTCTGTCTGTTTTCAACATAGAAAACAAACAAGGAGAAGGCGAGATTCACTTCTCGATGCAAAGAGCAGTTTCGCTAGAAATTACAATTATTTATACATAGGTATTTTACATAACCAACAAGTTACTATTTTAGGATATGAAAGCTAAGTTTCAGCTGGTCAGCATGTATCAATAAAAATCCATTGACGTGATCTTTAATCTACGAATTTAGGTTCAAATATCTGGTTTATAGGTTACGTGAACAATGAGGCACAATATGTCTTGTGTCCTAACATGTAGTTTCATTGCATATCTTTCCTCTATCTTTATGAATGCTTTAAAGATGTGTAGCCACTTGATCTGCTGAACTTGTATGCAAAATTCTTCGTTGATAATTCAGTTTATTTGGATCGAAATACATGAATACTTTCTTGTATTACATTTAATTTAAAATATATTGCAAATAAATTATCGAACAACGGTGTAAATACGAAAGTATACGTTTAAGACAACTAAACTACTTTTTAAGATACATACTAACCTTATGTTGTACATAATAATTATATGAACCACTGGTTTTCAACTCAGTGAATTCTTTGTCAACATGTCTAACAAACCAGTGCTGTATAATGTATTTCAGGGTGTATATTGCTGAGAAGGGAGTTAGACTGCATTTAGCCTATTGAAGCAACTTATAGTGCCATTGGCATACCTGAAAATCTATTACGGACTCACCACACCATGCAGTAGTGCGCCGTTCCACCGCACAACAGTTAAATACGGATACTGAAAGTTGGAAAATGAAGAATTTAAATATCTGACCACCGTCACCTTCGTAACATTCCTTATGGGAGTGTAGATAATCATGAAAACTATTGAGAATGTGTTGAAATGCCCGGCTATTAACTGAGGAAATCCAACTTCCTGGATAATCCTTAGTAGTAAATCAGTTACGACGTCCTAATCTAATACATTTCATTGTAATTTAATCCTGATTTAGATAATACCTCGCAATGAGAAAAAAGGTGGTTCACTTTCTGAAGTACACACCACTCAATAACCAAAATCATATTCCAGAATTACAATTTAAATCACATACATGTTGCAGCCTGAAGATGTCATTCAGCTGCCAAAAGTGAGGTGAAGCGGAAATGAAACTGGTACACAAACAGCGGAAAGTCGAATAAAAACACTCGCTGAAAACGTTGCTTTGGTTTTTCTCGACCGTTGGGTGTCAAACTACGGTGTACCAACTACTACTACATCCGACCGCGGTCCTCAATTCCAATCGACACTCTTTCGCGAACTGACGAGACTCCTGGGAGTGAAACATATCTCCACGACAGCCTATCATCCGGCAGCGAATGGTCTAGTGGAAAGATTCCACAGACAACTGAAAAGCCCCCTGATGGCGCAAAATGATACATCTAAGTGGAGTGAATACTTACCTTTAATTTTACTTGGTATCCGATCTACTATCAAAGAAGATTTAGGATGTACACCGGCTCAACTTGTTTATGGCACCAACCTAACCTTGCCTGGACAGCTAGTCCCCTCAGCCGATTCCACAGACGGGAACATTACCGACTTCACGAACCGATTAACTAGACAAATGCTTCAGCTTCAACCAACAGCAACTCGACAATCTCCCCGACGAGATCAGATCAACAAACATCTACAAACTTACAAATTCGTGTTTGTTCGAGTCGACGCCATCAGAAAAGGATTACAACCTCCATACGAGGGACCATTTCAAGCTATTAAACGTTCAGAAAAACACTTTACGGTGAACAAGAATGGAAAACGAGAGACTGTTTCCATCGATCGCATCAAACCCGCATACACAGACAACGATTTTGAAGCTACACCGGCAACTGCACAATCAAATAATCAAACATCACATTCCACTCCACCGGCACCAAGTCTTATCATCCCTCCATATCAAACACGTAGTGGTCGGCAAATCAGTAAACCGGCTCGCTACGTTCATTTTGAGGACTAATAAAAAATATTAAAAATTATTATCATCTTTTTCGTTTAGACATTATTATCATGACCGTTAGTATTTCGTTGTAAACTTTGATGTTACTATCACTATTATTTACTTATGTGTACCTCACCTATAGAACAGGCATTGTCCTTTTCAGAAACTATTGATCTTTAATCCATATTTTTTAAATATTTCTTTTCCCCTCCTTAGTTACTGTGTATTTACATATTTTTTTCGTTATACATTGAAAATCTATGCTCATGGTTAGTGCAAATTTAGAAGACATGACTTTCTGTTTTAATTTTTTTTATTGCTGAACTAATTGTATATGCTTTCAGACTTTACATGACTCACATAACTTCTTGCGTTTATGCATGTTGTAATATATCCCTATTTTTATCCAAAAATTGTTATTACTATTATTATTTACTTCACAGCTTTACTTAACATTTTCCGATGGTCTCTCCGGACCTCTAGGGGGGGGGGAGCCCTGTGGAGTGCGTAACAATGTGATTGTACACTTTTTGGTTATTTGTAGAAATTAGACATATTGTACATAATTTTTGTTTAAAACGCTTCTTGTTGAAATACACTTGGAGTCCGTGTAAAATTGAAAAAATACACTCTGCTGTTGGAGACTTCGTCCTCACCTTGGTTTCTTAGGCTTACTAGCTCAGCTCTCACCGTGTTGTATCTTTCGGATTTATTGTAGGAGTCCACTACGCTCAACCGAAGACAATTCTACAACCGGGACACAGCAGCTACAACCTACTCCGTCCAAACAATTAACGTCTCCGTGGGTTATATAAATAATTTGTAGCAGAGGACTTAAACTTTATTTCCAAGTAACCCTTTTGTTGATATAACGTGTCGTTGCATTTTTGGTAATATACTGTTACTTAACATTCCATTGACTTGAATTTTATTTCTCATATTTTGTAATACTAGTGAACTCTAACAAAATGAAGGCCGATCAACACTTACAAAATAGTCAGACTTAGGGTTAAGGGGGATAAGGAATGGGTTATTACAGTAATGATAGCATTACAATCAGAAAGCAATAACTGAGGTACGTGTCACAATAAACTATTTTTGGCTTTTATTATCTTGATTGATCTTCGACTTCTTCATATACACATAACTAATTGGTTACAAATATGTCAAGCAAATAGATAAGACTTTTCAGACGAACTTCATATTCTGATAACTACCAAAAACAAAATATTGTCAGATTAAGGAAGGATTATAAATCGGGGAAAAAGCCTTCACCATATTAGTGATTAGTTAGCAAATTATGGAAGTGTTGTGGGATTCACATTTAACATTTTTCAACTCCGGGATGAATTCCCAAACACAACAAGATAACAGCGACTCGAAAGAGACGAGGTACTTATCCTCCACCTTTTTCTTATATTTCAGGTAGTAAAATTGACTTGGAATTTATTTTTATGAAGTAAAGGAATCCAATATTCAGCAATTGGCTGAATAAAACAATAGGCTTTGAGGTGCAATAACAGCGGCCTGATTAAATCATTGGGCTATCAGGATTTTCATCCATCAAAATGTTTCAACTCTTTTTGATTTCTTGTTTTAA